ATATATATATATATATATATATATATATATATATTCTAGGCAGTTTAAAAAAAACAGTCCTTTTATCCATAACTCTTGAAATACATTTTCCACCTTGGAGGACGACATCCTAGAACCTGGATGGCAAACCTTGGTGGCATGCAGGACCCTCCCTCTCTGTGGGCAGGCGCACTGTCGCCAGCTGCTCTTCTGTTTCTGGTGCGCACACGTGTGCCGGCCAGTTGGTCTTTGTGTGTGTCTGGAGAGACCAGCTGGGCGGTGTGCATGCCGGTCTTCAGGTTTCCGGGGTTCCAGTGCGCGCACACACACACGCACACACACACACACACACACAGACATTCCAGTGTGGGCCCTCGGTGCCCAAAAGGTTCACCACCATCCCTGTCCTAGAAGACATAGACGCAGCCCAGTCTTGAATCATTTCACTGCATTGTTCCCAGATTAACTTAATGAGCAGAGCGGTTGTGCCTCTGCGGAGTTTCTGAATGGCTAAACTTTGACCAATCTGTCTTTTGAAAAGAATAACAATATTCTTTTCTGTGCTTCTCCACTGTTCTGTTTCTGTTGGCTTCATTGTTTCACAATTTTTCACAAATGCCCCCTAACTTAATAGGCTGTTATGTCTTGGAGCAGAATGCAACTATAGACTTCAAATATAGCAAGACTTCCTTTTGATCTCCAACTGATCAGTTTAGCAACAGCTACTGAAGGGTCCCAAAGATTACGCAGGTTGACTGGTCTTTATATCCTGGCTTCAATCCACAGCTCATCTGATGGATGCTGTGCCAGTAAACAAAAGGAAATGCTGTTTCTGACCGTCTATACAAAAGCTTAACCAGCTCAGAAGACAAATGTGAGCCTAAAGGTTGCATTTTAATCCCTCCTTACATAGGCTGGGAACTATATGCCTCAGGATGCAAACAGAGGTAATAGACAGGGACACAGAGGAGATATCCCCACCACTTCTGGACAGCAAAAGAACAAGTTGCCAAGCCAAAAATAGCTTCTACATTCCCAAATTACAATTTCCAATGAAGAAGACTCATTTCAAGCAGGAATTATTTGAGCCAAGTTTCTCTAAGTATCCCTCAGAGTTTTATCTTATCTATTTTCAGAAACACAATCTTCTTCAAAAAAGAGAAGATTAAGGTAAAGCCAGAAGTGGGATTCGCTTACCTTCCCTACCAGTTCACAAATGTGAGTGCGTGCACACGCACGATCACTTCACTTGCACTCGTCTCATCTGCACGTGCGCACCACCCTTGCACATGCGCAGTGCTCTTGCATTATGTCGGGGTGGGTGGGCAGAGCCCCCTGCAGCCACCCAACAGGAGAGAATCAACTGAATGCCACCTCTGGGTAAAGCCTGTAAGACTTCCAAAAGAAAATAGAACTCCGCTTGATTCTTAATGGTTCAGAAACTTACCGTATATTCTGGGAGTTTGCAGGAAGGGAAATGAAAGCTTCTGATGACAAGAAATTCCATTTCCAGCTCAGGCAGGTAGCAAGACATTTATGTTGGCTGATACACAGCAGGCAAGCAAAATCCTGCACCTTCTTCATCTGAAGTTAAAGCAGCCTTTCAAAAGATATGGTTCAAGTCCTTGCCTTGCTCTCCCAATTCTGGATACCTTTGCACAATCCTCAAAGAGGCAACTCCAGCCAGGGGCAAACAGCAGAAAAACTAGCAATTTCTAATCTCCAGTAATACAGTGGAAGAAAAGTCCCTTTTAAAGAAGTTAGTTTGGGCAGGATTGGATTGATAGCAACCGTCTTTCCATAAAATGCGACCTATCCTGAAAATAAGCCCTAGCCTGATTTTTCACATCTGCACCTAATATAAGCCCTACCCCCAAAATAAATCCCAGTTAGATCCCTCCCTCCCACTCTCTGGCTATATGAGGTGGGGTAAAGCCCAGGTGTAAAAATCAAGCTATGGCAGGGGTGGGGTTGGGGGTTGAAGGTGCCCCATGCGCCCATTTACCTCATCACGCCATTGGAGCTGCTTGCGGAAGAACGCCACGAGGCTCGTTACGCCAGTGGAGCCACTCGTGGCAGAACACTGTGAAGCCTGACACACTGCTTGAGCTGCTTGCATGCGCAACGGCACAACACACCACGCAGCATCCAACGGCCAGCAGCTCCACTGGCGAAACAAGTCTCGCCATGAGTGGGTCCACCAGTGCAATGAGCTTTGCAGCAAGCGTCACGGCTCCTTCCAACTTTGCAAGATCTTTTTTTGTATTTGGGAAATTGGAAGGTCTGAACTATTTTGTTACTGTAGTCCCACCGACTCCTTTTGTTGCCCTGCATACGGCAGAGAACAGATATGGAAAGCAAGTCAGTGAAGGGATGTGGCTGCCTTGGGGTGGGGTGAGGGTTTGGCATGGGTGGCCTGACTGAAGGGCCCTCAGGTAAGCTGGTGTGGGACGCGTGGGCAGCTCTGTATCCCCTGCCTTGTTTTGTCCTCTACCCCCCCCACCACTGCATTGCTTCGTTCTTCACAACGTGCAGCCTCTCACAGTAACGACAATTGCAGTTCTGGAAGATTGAGGGAAGAGCGTGCCTATGGTAGAAGCAATGTGCAGCCTGTCCCTTTCAAGTGATCGTGTGTGTGAGAGAGAAAGAGGGAGAGAAGGGAGAAAAAAACAGCAGAGGGGAGTAACGAGAATTGCAGGCAACGCTGTTTGAAAGGGTGTCCCATCCGCTGTTTCTCTCTCTCCCTCCCGCCCTCTCCCTCCCCTTCCCTTCCTCCCTCCCTCCTCCCCTCTCTCACTCACTCACACACACACACACACACATGATCGCTTGAAAGGGACGGGCTGTGCATTGTTTCTACCGTAAGCAAGGCCTGCATTGTCAAGTGTTTGGGCTGCTGAGCACCAGCCTGCATACCTACTTGGTGCTGGTGCCGGGGTACAGCTATGCTGAGTCCGGCGCACTTCAGGCCCTGGCGGCCACTGCAGCTCTCGTGCTGGCTGTAGGAGGCAAGCGTGGAGCTGTCCCTGGTCGCCTGCAGCAGCTTTACAGCCGCCTCGCCTTCTGCCCGGTTGCTACCCAGCAGCCTACACTACCTCCTGCTGGAGCTACCCCACACATAGCAGGCATGAGAGTTGCAGCGCCCGCCAAGCCTATAGCCCAGTGCCTGCAGCACCGAGTAGGTGTGCAGGCTGGT